TGTGATTCATTTTGACAGAAAAATCACTCAGATTCACAGTCGGTTGGACTACACAGTTACTGCAGACTCAGATTTGTCCAGTGTGTCATGCTTAGGTCAAGTACTAATGGATGAGTTTCAATTGTTGAGACCTGAGGATGTGGACAGGGTGCTTGGATCTGTCTGTTCTACTACCACTCCACTCAACCCTTGCCCATCTTGGCTAATTGGAAGATCTGCGGGGGGGTTGCACCTGGGTCCAGGAGGCTGTGAGCACCTCTGAGAGAGGGAGTGGTCCCTACCTCCTTGAAAAGGTGATAATTTGGCCACTCCTTAAAAAGCCCTGGACCCATGGCTGGTGGTTAACTACAGACCAGTGGTGGTCTGTAGTTATTTAGGCAAGGTTGGAGTGGGTTGTGGCCGGGCAACTCCAGGTGCTGCTGGATGAAACAGATTTTCTGGATCCATTTCAATCAGGTTTCAGTCCGAGCTTTGGTATGGAGACTGCCTTGGTCACCCTGGACAGGCTAGAGGACCATTTCCCTGCCCTGAATAGGGTTGCAGTCCCCCTGAGGGACAGGGTCCACAGCCTTTGGGTGCTCCTGGACTCCAGTCTAACACTGGAAGCCCAGGTGGACTCGGTGGCCAGGGGCGCCTTCCTTCAGCTGTGGAAATTATACCAGCTATGGCCAACCTGGATGAGCAGAGTCTCATGACAGTTACACATGCACTGGTAACATCCTGTATAGATTGCTGCAATGCACTGTACGTGGGGCTGCCTTTAGACGATGGTCTGGCGACTGCAACTAGTTCAGAATCAAGCTGCATGGATGGTGAGTGGTGGGACCTCTAGGGAACATATCAGACCGATTCTGTTCAAATTATATTGGCTACCAGTCGCTGTCTGGGCCAAATTCAAAGTGTTTGTTTTGACATATAAAGCCCTAAATGGCTTGGGCCCTGGATACCTGAAGGACTACCTCCTTCCATATGAACCTACCTGGCAATTAAGATCTAGCCAGGGGGCCCTCCTGAAAGAGCCATCCTTCAAGGAGGTAAGAGCCATCCCTCAAGGAGGCAGCTGCCCTCAGATTATGGAACGCCATCCCAAGTGAGACTTGTGTGGTGCCAACGTTGATTATGTTTTGGCACCAGGTCAAAACCCTCCTGTTCCAGAAGGTTTTTAATTGAAATAATATCAACTGTGGGTCCTGATGGCAATTTTTAGAGCACTGCATTTTTAATTGTATTTTAATTGTTGTATCTGTTTATCTTTTTATTGCATTTAAATTGTTGTAAGCCACGCAGAGACCTTTGGGTAGGGTTGGGTGGCATATCAGTCAGTCAGTCAGTCAGTCAGTCAGTCAGTCAGTCAGTCAGTCAGTCAGTCAGTCAGTCAGTCAATCAATCAATCAATCAATCAATCAATCAATCAATCAATCAATCAATCAATCAATCAATAGTGCTGCCAATGATACCACTACCCACCAGTGATTTGCTGAGTGTCACCACCAGGAGTGACATTCCTTTGACCATGTGGGCATACACCACTCTGTGGCTCCTTGCCACCTGGGACAAAGCTGTGCCTTTGGCCCTCAAGCTAAGACAGACCAAGACCCCATCCCCAACTCCCCCTTAAGGCGATTCCTCATACCTGGCGGTGATAAGTTCCTGCATGCTGCCCGAGCACCACTGAGGTCCACTCCAATGCCCAAATCCATGAAACAAGTTATTCCAGAATTCTAAAAAAGAAGCAAGATACCATGTTACAACCTATACACAACTATTACACCACCTCCACAAACCTTAAACACCTACAAAAACCAACCCACTGTGCATAACAACAACAAATAAGGAGGGAAGGTTGGTGAGGCACAAAATGGTTGGGGAGCCTTTGAGTTTCTGTTTTTAAGTCATGGAGGTGGACTGGAGTAAAAATTGCATCACTTTGGTCTGTCTGCCTTGAGGCATGCTTTTAAATTGATGCAGCCACCAACTGGGAAGCCACAGAACCCAGTGGCCAACCCTCTATCATCTTCCATGTCTGAAGCTTGCGTGGAACACATGCCATCCACCATTTCAGATGGATCCCGCCAAATGTCCCATCTGTGGTCCAGACTGCCTCTCTGGCCACAGCTGGATGACCTTATATGTTGGTGCCACTCTATTTCCAATATGCTGCACTTCAGAACTGGAATGTATTTACTTACTCATTAGCTACCATTGCATCACACTTTTCTTCTGATGGGCTCAAAGTGGCCTGTACACTTCATCATTACAATATGTAGATCTAGCAGAAAGGGTTGCCTCTGTAAAGACTCCAGTGCGTTTCTCCCAACTCCCTGGTCAACATGATGACCCTGGGATGGGCCTTGTGCCTCCTCAAGCAATTTTTGCACCCTCCAAAACAGTTCTTTTTAAAAGCTGCCAAAAATCCACAGCACCATATGCTGTAGAAATTTGGTGACCTGGCTTCTTGAACACTTCCCAGCTTTCTTGGAGGTGAGAATGAACCTTAGTTGATGTTGCTAACTCAAAGAATGTTGGTTAGCATTATTCTTTTCCACCAGAAATATATTTCTGCATTTAATTTGTTTTAACTACATGAAATCTTCAGCTGCAATATTTACTTCTTCACCGTAGATTGTTAAGTATTTGCTAATACTTACCTCAGTAGTTAGGGACTGTATAGTCATCAGATTCTATGGGTCTCTGTGGCCGAAACACTCCCTAAACATCAAGTCATGTAAAACAAAATAATAGTTCACAATTAAGATGATGTAAATATTTCAGGCAAAGGCTTTAAACAATTCAAGCCCCAAAGTTTGTTTTTGGTAGAAAAGAAAAGCATCAAACAATATTTATTGACTTAGCAACTTCAAAGAAGTTAAACCAAACATGTTCCAACCTCAGCAATCCCAGAAAGGAAACTATGCTGCTGAATTTTGGCAACTTTTAATAATCTGGCTGCAAGCGAAGCTGAAAACTGGCCCTTGACCCAATCAACATCATACAATCCCATTCTAATCACTATACCACATTGGGTCTGCTTACCAAAACAAACAACAGCAACAAACCCCTCACATCCTCAGAACTCCCTATGGCACAAGCTCCCCAAGAACAAAAAGAGTTGTGCTATTGCAGAGGAGGGAGAAGTGTGAAACTAAATAAATTTTTCATACGGGTGTTTGTGGTGTCACATTTGGGTGACACTAGTGTCACATTTTGGCATGCTTCTTGGGCTCCATGATCACTGCAGATGGTGACAGCAGCCACGAAGCTAAAAGACGCCTGTTTCTTGGGAGGAAAGCGATGACAAACCTAGGTAAAAGGTAAAGGTAAAGGTTCCCCTTGACAATTTTTGTCCAGTCGTGTCCGACTCTAGGGGGCGGCGCTCATCCAGCTCTTCAAGCCATAGAGCCAGCATTTGTCCGAAGACAATCTTTCCGTGGTCACATGGCCAGTGTGATTTAGACACGGAACGCTGTCTACCTTCCCACCGAGATGGTACCTATTTATCTACTCGCATTTGCATGCTTTCGAACCGCTAGGTTGGCGGGAGCTGGGACAAGCAACGGGCGCTCACTCCGTCGCGTGGATTCAATCTTACTACTGCAAGGTCCGCATAGTCACAGCTATGGTTTTTCCAGTAGCGATGTATGGAAGTGAGAGCTGGACCATAAAGAAGGCTGACCGCCAAAGAATTGAGGCTTTTGAATTGTGGTGCTGGAGGAGACTCTTGAGAGTTCCCTGGGCTGCAAGGAGATCGAACCTATCCGTTCTGAAGAAAATCAACCCTGAGTGCTCACTGGTAGGACAGATCCTGAAGCTGAGGCTCCAATACTTTGGCCATCTGATAAGAAGATAAGACTCCCTGGAAAAGACCCTGATTTTGGGAAAGTGGGAAAGCAAGAGGTGAAGGGGACAACAGAGGACGAGGATGGTTGGACAGTGTCACCGAAGCTACCAACATGAATTTGACTCAACTCCAGGAAGCAGTGGGAACAGGAGGCCCTGGCGTGCTCTGGTCCATGGGGTCATGTTAAGTTGTGTCACGAAGAGTCGGACATGACTTAATGACTAAACAACAACAAAATAGTGTGACACTAAATACACTTGTATGAGAAACATTTTTAATGTAGATCTAATATTGCAATGATATTTATTGTTTCATATTGCCTTGTATTTATTTTTTGTGGCTCATTTTCCTTTATGCCACAGCCTTTGGTCACAACAAACAAATTTGATTAAAGAAGCTGTGTTTGTTTAGAAGTGGGAAAAAACAGCATGGATGGTTCCCAACTCAGCTTGGATTTATATAAGATGTATCTTGACATTCATATCTAATCTGTATTTGCAAAAGCCTACTAAGCATATAAATCTCCCTTTCTGGAAAGGGCCCAATCTCAAACCATAAAATAATTTTCCAAGTGTACCATAAAAACAGTAAATGATGTCCATAAATCTGTCATAATATTCTGAATATATTTATTTCATGTTAAATATTTATATCCTGTCTTTCCTTCTAAGAGTTGTAGAACAATGAAGGTGCAGTGATAAATTAACAATTTAGATCATCATTTATAATCTGACCCTGAAACGCAAAACACTAAGAAAGCAGTAAGAAATAACAGAAGAGAGCAACAATAAAAATTACACATGGTATATAAGCAGCTTTTCGTGTGACATCTTGGGTTTGTACAGTGCAGTGATTAAGAGACAGCTGCAGATCAGAAAGTTCCATATGTGAGTCTCACATTTGCTGTGAACTCACTGGATAGATTTAAGAAACCCACTCCTCCTTATTCTCAACACACATCCCATCTGTGCTATTGGTTTGAGTATAAGACAAGTCAATCTTAAGAAGTAAGGAGTACATCAAGATCCGGTGTGCACACTTCAAAGAACTAGAGAAATCCCAAAGTATTTACAGTGTTAACATCTATAAGGTTCAAGTGTGTAAAGAAGACACTAAATGGAGACTCTCATCTTTTCAGTTTTTATTTCTTCTCATTTCACAGCAAGCTCGGAAGCCTTATGATGTCCGTGATGTAATTGAACAGTACTCTCAAGGGCACCTCAATATGATGGTTCGGATAAAAGAACTCCAAAGAAGGTATGCAGTGCTATCTGTCATCCAGGATCCTATTGCTTACATGGAACAACATAAACCACAGTGACAAATTTGCACTAGTTTACTGTTGCTGCTTGCATTCCTCCCTGTTTGACAGTCATGTGACTTGGCACACAATAACAGGTGGCAAATCTATAATAAGCAACAATTCTGTGGTTTATGTTCTTGCAGTTACATCAGGATACATAAGGAATAGGATTATGGCCACTGAGTCAAAATAAATGTTTCCTCTGTTCCTGAAAAGATCCCCTGGGCTAGGAAAGAGGAACACATAATTTTGAGAGAAATAACTCAAAGCGTGGAAATCATTAAAACATACATAATGTAAGTCTCATTATAAGCACTATTAGATAATATGATGCTCTTCTTTTGTTTCTATGTAAAGCAGGTGTAGGTGACTAGTAGTTATCTAAATATTTCTCAGCTATAACTCCCAGCCATTCTATCCAGTAGAGCCAGTGGTGAGGTATGATGGGAGTTGCAATCCAACAGCATCATCAAGATGCCCAAATAAAATGGTTTCAGCTAGTGGCACCCAGGTAATGGATCTAACTGTATGATATTCTTGACTCCATGGTTATGAGTTTGAGCTGAGGCAACCACACATCTAAAGGAAGTCTGGAAAATGTACTTAGTTTCATCAAGCAGCACATGCATAGGCTCTCCACATGATCTGTAGCCCAAATCACAGAAGCCTTATTCAGTCATTGTGAAACAGTGCCTGAAATCTTGTTCCTATATGTAGTAACTCACAACTAGAGTAAGCCCACTGAAGCAATGAAACTTACAGAGGAGTTGACTCACCAAATCCCACTGACTCAGTGGGCCTAGTCTAGTTGCAACTTAATACAGTGGTGCCTCGCTTAGCGACGTTAATCTGTTCCAGAAAAAAGTTGCTAAGTGATTTCATTGCTAAGCGATATTAGCCCATAGAAACACATTAAAATGTTATTAATGCATTCCTATGGGCTAAAAACTAACCTTTAAGTGAAGACCCTCCATAGGGGCAGCCATTTTTGGTGCCTCTACAGCGAGAAAACACAGCGGGCGGCCATTTTGGAGCAAGGAAACACAGCGGGTGGCCATTTTGGTTTCCCGGTGGCCATTTTGAAATCACCAATCAGCTGTTAAAAAAGGGTCGCTTTGCCATGATCACTTCCCCGCGATCATGGCAAAGCGAAAAAAACCCATAGGGACCATCGCAAAGCGATCGCTTTTGCGATCACAAAAACTCCATCGCTAAGCGATTTCGTCGCTCAACAGAGCGATCGCTAAGCGAGGCACCACTGTACTCTAAGCAACAGGATTTCAGCCTATGTGTCCTGCATTTCCAGGCTCAATTGAGGAGCCAACATAGAACCTTATTCAAAGTCTCATTTTCACTTAATAAACAAAACAAAAAGGGGGACATTGCTAGTATGGCCTCCTCATTGTGTATGGAGGTCAATCACTTTCAGAAGACTAAAGAGGTCAGGGGTGGGCAAAGTGCAGCCCTCTAGTCACTTCAGTTTTATTTGTTTGTTTTTGAACAGTCTTCTTAGCTTCCAGAGGGTCATGATAGCAGGGTATTAGTCCCACCCTTGGATAAATTATTAAATTAAATGCCTCAATTCCTAAAGAACTGCTTTATCTTATTAGATGCCTTTATCACCATACCACAAATCAAATAAGGTGTGGATTGAATGGTAATTTGACAAATTCTATTTGTACTGCTAAAGGGGGAGGGGGTTGTGGGTCCGCCAGGACTGTATACTAGCCCCCGCATCATTTAATCTTTACCTTAATGACTTGATAAAGAGGTGCTTAACATCAGAATTCCATGGACTAAAATTGGCTGAAACCAAGGTTTCTTTGTTGCTTTATGCAGGCGATGCTGTTCTTATGTCACTATTGATTTTAGGGAAACCAAGATCATGGTTTTTTCTAGACACATTCAATTAAACAAGTGGATAATTGATGCAGGTCAAGAAGTTTAAACCTGAGCAGGTCAAGAAGTTTAAATACCTGAACATTGTTTTTAGTTCAATTCTCTTTTGGACCAGCCACAAACAGTCAGCAGTGCAGATGGCTTTCTTTTTTTTCTTTTTCTTTTTTTACACCAAGGGGGAACAATTCGTTCCTGCTGCATTACAAGTAGTTAAGGCGAAATTTTTATCCCAGCTGTTATATGGTAAAGCTGTATGGATTCAAAGTTTTAATTCAGATCTTGAAACTGTGCTCTCAATGTTTTATTTATTTATATTATTTATTTGATTTATTTGATTTATATTCCGCCCATCTGGTATATTCTACCACTCTGGGCGGCTTACAGCGTTTAATTTATTTTTTTCTCCCTTATTTACCTATCTTTTTTTTATTTTTTGGTATGTTTTGTTAATAGCTGACGTTTATGGATTAATGTATATATGTTGTTGTTAGCCGCTGAGAGTGGTATAAATATACCAGATGGGCGGGATATAAATCAAATAAATAAATAAATTAAAATATCACGAGAGGATTACAATACAATCAATAACAAATAAAGTGCAGAAATATAGTAAAAATAAGCAGCAAAAAGAGAAGGGAGTCTCTGTTGTACTCTGTTTTTGGAAGGCCCAGGTGTGCCTCCTCTGTAGGACTACAATTAGAGGCGGGCCTCACATCTGTAGAGTAGAGAGCTTGGTCTCTTGCTTTTCAGTATTGGTTAAAAGTTGTGTATACTGACCCTTCCTTGGGTTACCTTTACGTCTTGCAGAAAGATGTTTTTATTAGTTCTTGGGTTAAGGGATTTTCAGCAAAATTATACTTACTAGACTTTTCTATGGACTTTCACTACTATAAAATCCTTTCTAGAACAAAGAATCAAAGATGTGGACTTGCAATATTCCCTATCAAAGATCCATGGATCTTGTTCACCAATACATCATGGCCAAAAATTTCCAAAGCATACTGTCCCCAAACACTGGCATGCTTTCTCCGGGGCCAGGTTCAATTGTCTCCCTTATGCAATGTTGGAAGAATGCTGTCACCGTACCCCCTATGATGGTTGGCTGTGTGCCTGTGGAGATGAAGTAGTTGAGTGTTTGACCCAAATCTTGTTTGAATGTAGCCTCCAAAGAGATGATTGTAACAGACTTCTCTGTCCTCTTGTGAGAAAATGCCCTGGAAGTCCGTTCACAGGGTATTTGGAGTGTTTGTTGGCAGGTACAAACCAAACAGTTACAAAGCTAAGTTCTTGTTTTCTGTCATATGATCTCATAAAAAGGCCTTATTAATCTAAATGATGACTTTTTCTATATATGTGCATGTTTTAATAATTTTTTTTCAATCTTGTTCTTATTATTATATTGGCCCTGTGACTGTATAATAAAGAATGAAACAATTTTGCACCTGTGAGAATAAAACAAACAAGAATTTATATCACTAACACAGGAGTAAAGGGGGGGAGGGTAAAGTTGTTGATTCTCTACTACTTAATGTGGGAGCAGAATGGGATTAGAATTCTACACATTCCTGTATAGGATCTTGGTTCACTGACTACATAATGCGTATATATATATGATGAGGAGGAAGATAAAAAATCCACTGGATAATTTTCTGATGTAAGTAAATTCTCTTTTTCTCTAGGCTGGATCATTCCCTGGGAAAACCTGGCCTCTTCCTTCCAGGTACAGATCTATAGGCTGCATCTGCTATTAAATTATATGGGTTGGAAGAAGACTATTCTTTTCTGGCTTGGATTAAAACTGCAGCTGATGAAACACTTCTTCCAACCTGCTGTATCTAATCCCCAAATACCAGCCTCAGCCTCCCAAAAACTCATTCCTTCCTTTCCCTGACTTATTCAGTCAGAAAAGAGGGAGGTCTTCCATTCCATTTCCTGTTCCAGGCACATTGCTACCATCTCAACAGAAGCAAGAGATGATGATCTGTAGCCTTCCTAAGGGCTATTGTCCGGTCCATTATTTCCCAAGGGCAGTGCGAGGAAGGGAAGGGCTTGCTCAATTGTATCAAGGATGTGAGTCAGGCCAGTGGTCTGTTCAACTCACCTGGCTTTGACTTCTTGTATGTTCAGTTAGCTTTGCAAGGTTCTGTTAGGATTGCGCCCCTCCCCCCGAGTTTTCCATCCTTAGTTCGTGTGTGGCAAGTAGGCACAGCATGGTCTCTATCCTATGAATAGCTATGCCTAATAAATTTGGTTCATGAAGAAACAGAAACATTTATTTCAGTTTGTTCTTGAAGAATATAGCAAAATTCACAAACTGCATATTCAGGATAGAAAAAAAAACATTAAAGGAGAAAAAATATAGAAGTAAGTGTTGGCAGATTTTCCCATTTTCAGTTGAGATAACTTTTAATTAAGGGTATCTGAAACAGAATCCACAATCTTACAGAAGCTTAATTAATCTTGCCTTCTCAGTTATGCTGCTATAAATGTGTTTAACTTGATATTCAATTGTTATACAAATAAAATATACTGTATTACACAGATTTTTATTTTTACTTTTTGCAATCCTGTTACCAATTAGCAGTCTGCTAGCTTCTACCTGAAACTAATTTAATCAGGTACATTTTTTCCATCTTATAAATGTACGCTTTCTTTTAATTTAGAAAAGGGTGTAGACAAAGGATACTATACAGTAGGAGCCAGACTGATCCGGCTGGAGGATAAAGTAAGTTTTCTTTATTTTTTAAGATGGCTCTTCTCCTTACCACAACCACTTACTGCCTGACAATGACATCTGCTGTATGTGACATGAATGCTGTATCTTGGCATATATTTTCTTAAACATTTTGAAGTATTAAAAAAGGAAAGACCCAATATTTGGGAGACATATACTCAAATTCACATAGATTAAGTTAAGGCAAAATATGTTTCACTCACATCATGTGAGCTGTGAAGAAAGCAAGGACTTGGGGGATGATGAAAAAAGAAACTTAGTTTTGGGAGTTTTTTATGTGCCTGTAAGTGAATGGGAACATAAACTTTCAAGGCAAAAGGTCATCTGGAAATAGTCTATTTGCACCTCCTTTCTATCTCCTGTTTCTGTATTCCTATAATTGGGGCTACTTCAAAGGAAAGACACCTCACCACATGTGTGGATGCTTTTCAAAGACAGAATACCGATAGAGAACTGTAAAGCTTATTATTGTTATTAATTTTTTTTTGTCTATCAGAGCAGTCACCAACTGTTTGTATCTGTGAGGCTGGAGTTAACCTACTTCCTGCCTGAGGATAGGCAGATTTTGGAACTGGAAAGGAGCCATGACTTTTCTTGCTCTAGATTGATCAAAGGGGATTAAGAGTTGTTAAGTGATTTCAGGCCCCACCTATCTCATTCAAGTCCATAAAAGGGACTTAGGGAAGATGATACTTTGTTTCAGCCACAGCCGTTTGGGGAAAGGAGAGATTTATTCCATGGAGGAGGATATGCTTCTCACACTATTAAGGGATTCCACCTAACTCACATGGAGGACTTTGTGATCTTAAGAAGATGTGCTGGGCCTAGTCTCATGGAGGGAAACTCAGGCTTAATCCATCTCTTTACTTAGGTTTGAGTAAAATAGGACAAATTACAGTTTATTATTTTCTGATGTGTTTCTGTTTTTGAATGCTGTAACCCTGTAATCATTTGCTTCTTCTTGCTTGAATAATGTGTTCTTGTGACCATATGAAACTTTTATTCTTTAAAATTGTCCCTTTTTTTGCTTCTTCTTTAATAAAACACAAAAATCTTTTTAAAGCAGTTGTCTGGAGGGTGAATGAGAGAGAGAGAGAGACGTGACATTACAGTCCAGTCCTAGCCTCATCCGAGCCACTGCAATTTTTAATATTTTTAATGGAAGCTGGTAGTAGCCTACTGTGATTTGTGTCTTGAATCCCCTGAAGCACGCACTGTCTCAAATGCTGAAAGGTGTGTTGGGGAGTGAAACATTCTCAGGCAAGTCTTGTAGCATCTCCTTATGTCTGCTTACCCTGAGTGCTTGTATCTCAGGATCAGTGGGAAGTGTGTGGCTGAGTCCAAAAGGGACCATGATTGTGACAGGATCTCTTAGAGTCCCCAGTTCTGGCACATGGGTTTTACGACAAAGAAGGAATTGCTTGAGATGCTGTCTCGAGAACTTCTATTTATATAGAGAGAAGAATATTGTGTTGAACTGATGCTCAGGGTCAAAAACACTGTGCAAGAACTGTAGCTGAAGTGTGAGCTCAGAGAATGTCACCATATTGTGAATAAGGACAGTGGTGAAAAATAATGGAACCTGTTTTTAAGAGAACAGGAAAAAGTAGCATGATACGAGCTGGTGCCTGTGGAATATGCTTTTATTTATTTTTGTTTCACTCTTTCACTGGTCAAATGGATTTTAAAGGTGTTTAAATGGCTTCAAATAAATGTTTTTTTCCCAGGGCTAAGGAGACAATAAGTGAAGCAAACTAAACAACAATGACTCATTTTTAAAGTAATTCCAGTCTCCAGCCAGGGACAGTGTGAGTTCAAATTTCACATCTTCAGCTATGATCCTGTTCTTCTTGCTGAGATGATTTAATCTCCTTTCTCCAGACAAGGTACTTCACTGGGCTGGTTCTAAATGTTTAGATGCCCAAGATGGAAAAATCTAAACAACATGCACACATCTTGTCCCACATCCTAACATGCCACCCAGACCTCCAGAATTTCTTGTGCAAGTCCCACTGAAATGGGCAAGCACAGTCAAAATACAGAGATACCCAGGGATTTTATAAATGTAAAACCTAACATCTTGAGCTAACCTCAGAAAATAGCAGTATGAATAGAGGTAATGGGTCACTGTATAATGCACTCTGTATAATTTCTCCTTCAATCCATTTTTTTCTCTTCAGAATAATGCACAAAATGTTCATTATATGCTCTCCTATACTGCATTATGATGTCCCCATGAGGTGATTTTGCTGATTTCCTGCAGGTAACACTGCCAGATTGCAGTAGTGAATGAAGTGTCCCTAATTAAGTTAGATACTTCTTAAATTTATGTCTGTTTTATTTGGAACTAGTACTTGAATCTAGGTCCCTGTGATTCATATATTTGACTTTCCATGGTGGGATTTTCTCAAAAATACAAGCCTCAGCAGTCCAACTGGCAATTTAAACCTATGATTACCTGAAGCAAGGGAAATAATGTGCTATGACAAACAGAGGTGTTTCACTACTTGAGGAGCTCCTCTTCTAAAAATATGCTAACTGTAATCATGTAATTTAATACTGAGGTGCAGTCTATGTAATTATATCTCTATAGCACTCTCTGTTAGCTGTTCCAATATCTGGAGCTTACATTACTTAACGAGAACCTCTTGTGCAAGTTATGCCTGCAGAAGAGTGACAACATCATTGGCAACAGGAGATTTTGAGGAATTAAAGACTTCCTCTTTCCATTCCACAGTTTCCACAGTTCCAAAATGATGAAGCAGATTACTTATGAATCAGACAGCCCAAGGGAAAGAAGAATGGAGTCTTTGCCTGCCAAAAAAACTCCCTCTGCCAGTGATGTCATCACTGTTCTGCAGCCATAATTTACACAAGAGGATTTTGGTCATAAATTTATTTATTAAGTAAGGAACTTGATGCTTAAGCAATTGAAAGTTGGCATCCTCTTCGTATCGCTATTATATTCTGATATATAGTTGTTATTTTAAAAACAGTTATTGATAGAGAATATAAAAATAGTACTGTTCCAAAGTGTGCCAGATCTAGGATTTCATTTTAGGGGACTTGGTCCACTTAACAAAAACAGTGTCCGTGAATCAATGATGTTCTCAGCTACCCAGGATATTTTCTACATAAAAGGAATGGCAAAGCTTCGGAAACAGTGGGCACTCTGTTTTTGTTATGCCTGATTCTGCCACTCCTGGAGTGATTCTTATTTTACAGTTTTTATGTGATGTGAATAGCAAGCATCCTTTTGGCTGTGGAATACCCTTGTTTGTAACTTAAAGTTTTGTGTTCAGTTTAAATTATGCTGTTTTGAATTATTAGTATCTTGAAACATAATGCTTATTTGACCTGCTTTTGCTCTTGCTTACAAATTACTCACATCGTTATGGTTGGTATCAGAGCTTCTTGTGGTTCTGTTCAAAAATTACATGGAGATCTTCAAAATGAGAATTGGGGGCCCCTTTCCTGCATCAGATGCATGCCATTTGGCTGAACCTTCCCCAACTTCAGCTTGAGCAGTTAACTTTAAATTATGGTCTGTAACTATTGAGAGATTCTCTTAAATATATTTGAACAATTGTTTCCAACATGATCTAGTTGCTGGCATTAGCTTCCATTTAAATTTGCAATCTGATGCCTCTTTATAATACACATGGGATTATAAATTGCCCTATTTTGGTTTTTCACTTAATATTTAGAATGGGGAAAGCATGGAAGGGGACGGTAAGGGGGAAAGCAGAGTAACCAGAAGAAGAAGAACTAAAACTAAGAAAGACTGGAATTGAAAAATGGAAAAAGTGTGCAGAAAACAGCTGTGTTGAATTTTGAAAAATATATCTATTAGATATTTTCATAATTATATGGCAATTCCTTGTGGTACTTACAGTTACAATCCACATTCACATTAACATAACGATTTCCACATTTATAGACAAACAAGTGATAACATGCTGAGCCAAAGGAACCATGTGGTAACATTTAAGATGGGCAAAAATGTTAAGAAAACTGAAGCAATAAAGCTGAAGTCTTTAGAGCATGGTAATAGACCAGGGCAGGTCTGAGCACAACACGTCTGCAAAAATAAGTACTTCCTTGCTGAGCAAAATAACAGCCTTTATTTTTGGCTGAAGTGAGACTAACTAGAAGAAAAGTGTGTTTGGGATAGATGTTAATCTGGTTGGCTTTTTCAAAGGGGGGGGGTGTTACCCAAAATGCACAATGTGCTGTGGTTGAAACACTAGAATATGAAAATGGACTCTCTAAGATAGAATAAGAGCTCTGTATCTTCTGCACTGAGGTGGGCAACTTCTGTAGAGGTTGCTGGGATGGGGGAGGCTACATGCTGGCAGTGGGTGGAGCTGTTGCCTCTGGTGGGTGGAGTCAGAACCACAACGTGCAACACCACTCCCTCTTGCACACGTACACATTGCCTTTTAAAGTGGAGATTAATGGGTGACTCACACAATGGCCCGTTAAACATGTTGAGTATCACACCAAACACATATAGAGGTGCTGTGAAACTGTAGTAATGCTGCAAGTGACATCTGTTTCTCAAGGTTTCAGGCTGAGTTTCCCTGCACTCTCGCTGAGAGTAATTGCTTTTATCTGATGACGCCGTGGAACAAAGAAGAAATGCCAGGGACCTTCTATGTGCAAGGGCTGTGTTCTGTCACTCAGTGCAAAGATCGTTATTGGAACTGTAAAAACTGTCAAGATTAACTAGGATGTAATCCAGGAGACTTTTAGCAACGACTTCACATGTATGGGTAGGTGCAGGGAAGTCAGAAAAACAGAGAGAGCTACGCTGAAAGCAGAATAGTTATTGCTATTATGAAATATTAAAAGAAAGCCACAATTGTCCTCATCTTTTTCTTTTCTCTTTTTGAAAATGGATTCCCACATATATTTCGGAGTGGCAGCTATTATAGTGGCGAACAATGGTTCTTAACCTGGGCAATTTTGCCCCATGGGGGCGATTTCAT